ATGTTGAAATTTAATACTGATGTGAGAGTTCCAAGCTGAGTTCATAAGGCAGATTGTTAACATTACATCCTTGGATTTAGCTTAGAATGTTGCTTGAAGGCATTACAGTTTGCAACTCATATTTTATGAAAGGACTTTAAGGGATAGCACCATATTTGAGGGAAATTCCAGGGACTGAAATTAACAAAGCAGATGGGCTAGAAGAAAGGTGTAGGAAAAATAGTGGAGAGGGAAAGGGGGACCCTACATTTGAATTCAATGTTAATATTTAGATTTTAGGGGTTTTTTTCTTGCCTTCATTATTTTTATAAATAGCTCAAGGTGGCAAACTTTTCTATAATCTTTCTCCTATTTTCCCCACAACATCCCTGTGAAGTGAGGTGGACTGAGAGAGAGTGACTGGCCCAAAGTCACCAAGTCAGTTTTCATGCTTAAAGTGGGACTAGAACTCACAAACTCCTGGTTTCTAGCTTGGTGCTTTAACCACTAAGGCAGTCCTTAGATTTATGACTATTTGTTTAATAATAGTTCTAAGTTACAACAGCCTCAGAAAAAGTGACTTATGACCTTCCTCAAAGTTACGGCCATCATACCACCCCTGCGGTTATGTGATCACAATTCTGAAACTTGGCAGCAGGTTTGTATTTACAACACTTGCAGCATCATACGGTCACAACTGGGATTTGTGATCAACCCAAATGGCTTTCAACAAGCAAAGTAATCAGGAAAGCTGCAGTCACTTAACAATCCCAATTTACTAAATACTTGTGGTGATTTAGCTTAATAACCATGGTGAAAATTGAATCTGATCACATGACTAATGACCACATTGCTTAGCAACCAAAATCCTGATCCCTTATGTCAGACATGTCAAACTCGTGGATGTTACATGACGTCGCTCAACGTATCAGGACGGTTTTGCCATTGCCGGCAATGGGGTGGCCGTGGCTTCCGGATGACCCATCTGGCCCGCAGGCCGGCAGTTTGTCACCCCTGCCTTATGTGGTCATAAGGCTAGGACTACCTATAGACCAAACTGATATTGTTCCTCAGAATACAGTAAATTGTCTCTTTTGTTTCCTGAAAAATGAGTTTGGTGGCAACATTTTGAGGTGTTATATGCTGCATCCAAAGTCTTGGATTGGGCTTAATGTAATATGCATGGCTAGGTTTTCAGGGTTCAGCCATCAAAACCTAAACTAGTGTGAATGTTCTCCTAGGCAACTTATGATAAATACTTATTTTTCTCTCCCTATCTTCAAACCATCATTTTTTTATTCCTATGGCAGAAGGATTGCTGATTACATTTCAGTGTCAGAATAGTATACAAAGATTCAAGAGAATACAATTAAGAACAGGAAAAAAGTTGAACTACTTACTTCTTGCTACAGAAGGGCACAATCTGAAGGGCCAATAAAAAGAAGAAAAATATCTCTTTATCCAAATGCCATGTTTATTGCTATACCTGAATTATTCAATTGCCAATCCTGCAATGCTCAGTAGCTCTTATATCTGCCTTTTTTCTGATATGTTTCACTGATTATTTCATGTGGTAACCCATAACACAGAAACTTTCTTGTAAATAGTGGATATTTAAAAAAAAATTGGCATTTATCAAAATGATATATATGAAATAGTTATTATCAGTATACAAAGGGTATCATGTAAAACTACCTAGAATTATATTCAAAGTTTCAGGAAATATGCAGGTGCCTTGCACTTAGTCTCTGGTATGATACTGTGACTTATTCATATGAGGCAACACTTGTAAACATTTTACTGGCAGGTAAGGAACAATGTGAGACAAATAGTCTCTATATTTTGGACTGAAGAGAGCTGGAGTTTCTAATGACCCCAATTAAACTTCCAGCTTTGTGCTGATACAGGTGAGATGTTTTAATGAACTAAAAAGATAAGTTTCTTTGATTTGAGCTCCCATTTAATTCTTTACTGCCAACTTTTGACAGGCTTTATATAATAGTCTGTTAAAGTCTATGGGCACTGGACAGACTCTCTTCTTAAATATCACTGTTATTTATGATTTCCAAATATTTTATGTTAGGTGACCAAAGTTTGCCTTATCTCAGCCTCTCCCTTCTTCCCTTTTCATACCAAAGTCTAATGGTCTTGTTACACATCTTACCTATTCAATTATAATATTACTTTATTTTCTAAAAGTTATCTAATTTCCACCATATTCAATCCTCTAATTAGTAATATAATATCCCCTCTAGTAAATCAAAGCCATTATTTTCTTCAGCCTTACTCTGGATTTCTTCCTTTGCCAACTAACCTTCCATGTCAGTGCCTTTGAATCATCAAATAGTTCTCCCCTTATTATTATATATATTATTTGAAATAAGAAAGACCATTTGGTTGAAGTTTTTTGGAAGAACAAGCCCATTTGTATTCATTAGATCACCTCCCTATTACTCCAATTTCCCACAATTGTCCTGATAGGTTTATCTTCCATTCAATCTATTCTTCTTCCTTTTCTTCAAATTTCTTCTGATTTTTGTAAAAAGTATTTTCCAGTTTCAGTATTATCACTCTCTTTTCTGATTTTTCTGTTGGCTGGATCTGTTGGTCAATTGGGTCCTCTGTCTTGGTGTTTAATTGTTCCAATTTTCCTGTTATTTTCTGCATTGTTTGTTCTTTGGTTGTAGTCAAGATCTGGGTTTGTATATTTAAGCTGGCATCTTGTTCCTTTATGTTGCTTCTTATTTTGTCACAAGCTGAAAGGATGGTTTCGTGTATTGATTTCAACATAAAAAGGATTTTTTCCTGATCTTTATCCATATGCTCTTGATAATATGTTAAGTTGAAGACTTTAGAATCAAACATTATAGTTTTTTAACTTTTGTAGCTGGGTATGGGACATCTATTTCACGTGTTATAGGTGGTCTTTATAGTAGATTGCAAAGTAAGAATTTATAGTCCAAGGTGTTCCATCATCTCATATAATAACATATGCTTCTCATGTAAAGAAAGAGGAAAGCAATTCCCCAGGTATAGCTCTGAAAGTCAGTAAAAGTTTACATTCATAGTTCAAACAAGCTAGATATGCCGCCCAGAAGTTCCTTCTTTGCAGCTAGGTATTTCACAGATAGTAACTGTCAAGGTCAAAGAATTTTTTTCTGGAATCAGGGCTTCAAGCCAAGTCTCTTTTAGGCAATAACAAATTGTAATATCATACTTTGCCACAAGATCTCACATGCACTGTTTAAAGCTTTTTAAGTCCAAAATTTTTATGGTAGTTTTTCAAGTCTTATTTCTTGATTAAAAAACAGACGTCTCCAATGAGAAAAGGAACACTTTTAGCCCCCAAGTTTCAAAAGAATATACATCCAATTAGATTAAAATTGTTCTTATAGTTGCTGTTTCCCCTGGGTAGTTAGTCGCCACTTTTCTTAGACTTAGAGGGTGGGGTAGAAATTCTCTCTTCACAGGAGGAAAAATACTTTGGGTAGGAAAAAATAAAATCTTAAAAAAGAGAATTAGATCTCACCCAGTTTCACTCACGTTGCTTTAAAGTTTCTTGGTGGTAATTTTGACTTCGGCTGTCAGCAGCTTAGTGATGGGCCATATTGGTATAGCCAGTCTTTCCCCCACTGGTTTGGAGGGCTTCCCTGGACCAAATGGAAGGGCTGCCACCCTCCCACAATCAAATGGGGGTCCTCTCCTTGCTCATTGCCCCTATAGGATGACTTTCAACCCTTTCCAGGGTCCCCCAGCAGAACAAATTTGGACGCAAAAGACAGAGCTCATCTTCCTGCATCCGCAGCGCCACAATGGCAAACAGGAAGTCCTATAATCTGACTATTTTTGAGGAATTGTGACTGTATCGGATATGAGGTATTGCTAAGAAAATTGTTTTGAAAAATTAGGAAAGTACCATTATTCTTGATACTAAGGTTTAGATTCAAGAGAGGTGTAATTTCTATTTTTAAAAAGGCAATTTTATCCACAATATTATGAAAACTGATGAAATGTATTTCCCTTTGGTACAGACTTTACTACATTTTACAACAGCTGAATATTTTCATTGCTTTTAACATATTAATTTTTAATGGATACATGATAACTAGAGATAGTTTGCAATCCTCAAGAGTTATAAACAACTTTGGTCAGTTTACCATTGTTTTTACCTGGGATTGTTGTTGTTTTTAAATGTTTTTCTATTTTTATGTAAGTTTTTATAAATCATTTGTGTGTGTGTCTATGTGTGTCTCTATAAAGGGTCATAGTGATTAAATAGAATGTTGGAATTTAAAATACGTGTAACACCCAATTTAAAAAAGCACATTAAAATATGTTTCTCAAACTATCAAGTGGTCTTTGTTAGATGGATATTTAAAAGGCCATTAAAAAAAACAAGCAGGAAAATTTTTCTTGGCTAAGTGCCACTTTATTCTTTTCCAAACAGGACATGTGGCAGTGATGGAATCAGATACAGCAGAACTGACATTTTCATTCTTTTCTTATATTCCAGATTTCTAAAAGATTGATCCTCAGTGATAGATATCAATTCCCAACCCTACTTGGATATACCAGAGACTGCACTGGTAATCTTTCTTAAGCAATACTTCTGTTCTGTTATGATTGTTCTCCATAGCAGAACCATCCAATCCATGTGTCAACCTCCAGCTTAAGTATCCAAATAAAAGTCCAGGATTAATTTCATTTCTGAAAAGCTTACTGTTTATTGAATACATGGCCTGGTAAAAGCAAGGTACAAATAATTCTACAATCCCAAGGCATCAGACCATGGCATATAACAATGACTTTCCCAGCCAACACCCCTTCCCCGTATGTCCATGTAGCTCATGTAAACACGTTTTCTTTGTTATGGGACCTGTCTGCTATCTTCTTCACACCTGCTAAAATGTCCTTGAAAGGGTTCCATATTGTCCACTTTCAGCAAGCTTCCATAGAACTGTAGTGGTTCCGTTTCTTTAACCAATCCATTCAAAAATAACACCTCCCCCCCTTATTCTAACGGCAAGATGAAAACAGAGAGGCAAGTACGGTAGCTGCCAAATTTTCACTCTTGACACCATGTCTTTAGAGAAATAAAGAAGCAATTGGATATTCCAAGCATGAGGTAAAGAGGTTTTTCTTAAACAATTCTTAAACACTGCCAAATGTGGAAATCACCCATAACTCTATAAAGATTTGCTTTGTTCCTCTCTATTCATGTCAAGTTACCACTTGCAACCACTACATGTTAAGTGCACTCCCCTGAATTCCTTTTTAGAGCAAGTTACTTAAAATAGCTCTAATAGGTAGCATGCCAAAGTGCTTTTTAAGAATGTACGCTGTGCCTCAGCTTTCCTTTGAGACCAAACCAATTAAACTTTAAAATTGAGCGTTAGTTCTTATCATGCATTTTACATAGATGTTTTGGTTCCAACATAATTTTACATTGGAATTCCTGGGTCATTCAGCATTTGCTTCTGCCTTTTCTGAATAATGCATTAGATATTTTCAGGTAAAAATCAGCATGTTAAGAGCTATCCTGCAGAAAAATTTTGCAAACATATTTTGTGCCCTAAACTCTTTAATAAAGCACTCTTGTTCAAGGAAATGACAATTTTCTTGTTTAAAACACACAGCCACATATATCATGCAAAAGGCATTTATTTATATCTATTATTTGCCAGAAATCAGAAGAGGTTCTCTGAATTCATATGAAGAATAGTTTTGTTTTGTTTTGTTTTTCAAATGTTCCTGACAAAATTGTTCTGCTAGAATAAGAGGCTAGTATTATTAAATTGTTCTTATTGGATGAACTTCAATTTAAACTTGATGTTTAATACTTTGAACTCTAATTCTCGTAGTCATATGAGCTGGGCAATGCTACAGCAGGGATTTAATAAGACAGACTGGAACGCAAGATCAGTTTTATTACAGGGAAAAGTGCAGAAAATTATTTTGATCCCTTGTAGATAAACTTCTTCAACAAATCCCTAAAAACATAACCATTTCTTAAAATATAATCACACCCATATATGTATATTTTTTTTAAAAAAATCTTGAATGGAATTTAGTGACATACATTATGATTTATCAAGATGGAGATAATACTAGCAACCTTTCCATAATAAAGAGCTTTAAAAGATTGAAAACAAAGTGTAATAAGCAACCTGGAAATCACAAAACCAATGTGACTGGTATAATTTTATCTCTACTGACTTAATTTGCTTTTACTGGCAGCTCAAAATAGACAGTATCACAGCTTGTCTTCATGTATTAATAGTATGCTAAACATACTATTAAAATTTATTTAAAAAGATCCAACAACACTCTTCAAGAAGATCAGCTGCTTCATATTCTCTTATATGAGCCAAATGCCTGCAAATCTATTCTGATTTTCAAAATATTAAAAAGTATGATTAATGTCATTGGTCAGTCCCAAGAGTGTTAGGGTTTTTAATAATTTGGGAGCAGTACATATATTTGAACTTCTGAAAACATTGGTTTTTCTCAAAAAATGATTTGTTATAAAACATAATTAGCAGATGGCAAACTGGTGAGGCCATTCCATGCCATGCTTACACCTTTTTTTTCCAGGAGATATAGGCAAACTTGCAAGCACTGGACTGCAGCCACCACCATTTTTAATTTCTTGCAATGCCTACACATCATTTATTAGAACCAGCAATTGGTGCTTTGAAGCAGCTCATTCTTGTTTAATTTTTTTTAAGTTAAAAAAATATAAATCAAAATCAGGTGAATTTAGGATTTGACAGGTGCCAGTGGAAACATTTGTGAGAATGGGGACTACCTTGGTGACCTATAGTTTCAACTGCAGAAATATTTAATATAACATAAATATTTGCTGCAGTTATAATGAATACCTTCCCTAACCTTATGGATAGACTGCTTGGAGCTTTTTCGGTGGTGCCACTCATTCATCTACTGTGAAAGAGCTTGGGGTTAAATCTTACAAGTCTGAAGAAAAATGATAATGAAGACAAATGTCAGGATAAAATAATGTATGCAGTACTGAGTCTGAAATAAGAAATGATACTATTCTCATCAATACAAACAACGCCTAATTGCTAGTGTCTTCCCAGTTATCCATATTTCATGCAGGTCTCTATACAATAGCAATGTTCTCTGTCCAAATTAGCAGTTTTTACTTGCAATTTATAATTTCAGAAATATTGATTTCATTTCTGTCTAGACAAACTACATGGATAGGTATATAATATGGACTCAAGGCATTATTTTTCATCTTCTTAGTCTTTAATTTATGTTACAATAGTTCTTAAATTGGATAAAAAATGCACTATTCATATAAAAATATAATCTTTTGACAGAAATGTAACAATATCACCTAGAAAAAGTAGAATGTAATCACCATAATAAAATTTATGCTTTCATGCCATGGTCTGTTTGCAATGTCACAGAAAAAGTAGGGTGTTTCATACTCTTTATTTGCTTGTTGTTTTAAGATTGGAATGTCTACTTTTTTTGCCAGGCTTTAATGACATAGGAAAACTTAATCCCAAAATACACTTATTTCAAAACAGGTTTGTTAACTGTTAAAAAAAGCAGGAATTCTGGATTCTTATGTCTACTAGGATTTCTATGACTTACAGTACCAATATCCACTTCCATATCAATATTTATATTACATATGTCCACTTTAGTAAAAAATTAAGGGAAAAAACATTGAAATTATAGTTTAATTTAAGTTAAAATGATAACACTTAAGAAAATGTATATTCCTTCTTGCTTCTTCTTCTTCTTCATTATCATTATCATTAAAAATTCAAGCACAAATTCGAAAAGCTTCCCAGGCATTTTGCTTTTGTATCGCTCTTGAATTCTGGGCAGAGAGCCACGTGAATGTGTTTCATTTTAGGAGATTTTTATTTGGATCAAATCCATAATCAACTCCATTTCATTAGCTAAAAGGAATAAAAATCTTTAATAATAAATCTGTATGACGCTCCTAAATTTTAACATTATTCACTAAAAGTTCCATTCTCCTGAGCTTGCGTTTATTTTTTGGCATTGGTTTGTCATATAAACCATTTTTAAGAAGATGCTCCTTGCTGTGGTGGACTTGGGCACCATGCTGGATCTGGAAAGCACAAAGAGCTTGAAGAGGACGAAGTACAGTCTGGTTACAAAGACAAAAAAAAGAAAAGAAAACTTAGAGTTAGACATACATTACCTAAGCCTGTAGTGAAATAAATACCTTGCTTCTGCACAGTTACTTGGAAGTGATATTAATCTATAAATAAATTTGCTTGAGGCTGTGGAATATATCCCTGGTTTTTTTAAAAAAAGCCAGTAAAGCAATTTCAAGCATGATTTTAAAAGCAGTTACAATCTCTGTTTCATGGTTTACACGCTGAACTGCTTAGTAGTATGTCACTACTAAGAATGAATTTAGCTTCCATTACTATTTCTTGCTAAATAAACTAGAAATAGTAAATTAAGAGAAAATATTTAAATCGGAAGTTTGGGCAAAGAATCTAATTGTATAGAAAATGTTTCCCACTACTATGATTCCATTTTGTATAATGCTAATTATAGGAAGGACATCATTTTTAATGACACAATTATAAATCCTGAAAGTACAAAATTGTCCCTATAAAGAGGGTAAGTAGAGATAAAAGAGTAGGTTCCTCTGAGCAAAACACCCACTGACACAATGTTACATCATGTAGTTTCCCTGGCAATAATATTGAAGTTATTTGTCACTGCATTTGGAGGTTTTTTTTCGATCAACAAAGATAATTTTGTGTTCCTCTCTGCAGTGTCATTTTCCAGTTGTGTGCCAATTTACCATCGATTGCCCACTTGTTTACTAAAAACAATGACTGACCAATATCATTATTGAACAACAGTTATAAAATATTCAGTATGATTTTAGTCGAAAGGATGAAACTATTCTGCAGTTCTGCAAACGATTCTGCAAGATTTTACACATGATGACCAGTGTGGTTTCTTACCTAAAAGACAGTTGACAGAAGCTATCAGAAATATAATTTTATTATATTAGAATATTTTGGAACACCATAATGAAAAACATGTGTTGATCTTTATTGATATGGAGGAAGCATTTGAAAATTTGAACTAGACTTTTCTATTTAACTTTGGAAAATATGGAATTTGGAGAAAATTATTAAATGGGTGTGATCAATATATACTATACAAACAGCACAAATTACAGTCAATGGCAAACCGACTAAATCTTGTGACATACAAAAAAGGACAAGTCAAGGCTCTCCATTTCTGCCACTGCTGTTCATTTTAGTTCTTGAAGTTCTTAACAGATAGCAATAGTAATAGCAATAGCATTTAAAATTATATACGGTCCTCATGTTACTTACCTCAGAAGGATGGAAGGCTAAGTCAACCTTGAGCCGGTGATGATCGAACCCCTGGCAGTCAGCAGAATTAGCCTGCAATACTGCATTCTAACCACTGTGCCACTAGGGCTCACATACATAAAACAATATGAAAGAATAGCTTGGTGCTATACCTCGGCATGCCATAGAAGGTATAAGGAAAGGGGTTAATATGGATATGGTTTCTTATGCACAGTTACTTAGATGGGATGGCCAAGACTGGCAGTTAAAATCTTTGGAAGAACTAATACATGAAAATCTAACTTATTCATGGTTCCAATATAGACAAATAGTGGACAGATGGAAGATGGATTGTAAAATGGGCTGGCTTAGAGAAGATGAAACTCTCCTAAAACAAGTAAGAGATCAAAGGCCAACCCATATTAAGAGAGTTTATGGGGTTTTAGTGGAATTGGATTCAGAATCTGAATTAGTTAAAGATTGTATGATTAAATGGGCACAGAATATTGGTGAATCGATTTCAATGGATACTTTGGGAACTTATTTGGACAAGAAATGTTAAATTCACACAAGCGCAAAATTTAAGAGAGAATTTTTATAAGATGTTTTATAGATGGCACCTTGATCCAAAGAAAATGTCCATTATGTACTCTAATTTACAGCCGAAATGCTGGAGATGTGGACACTTGGATGCTACTTATTATCATATCTGGTGGACGTGTAAGCATATAAAAGCTTTTTGGATTAAGATATGGTGGAATATTCAGAGAATTTTTAGAAGGAGGGTAAAATTTACTCCGCAATTATTTTTATTAGGTATTGTTACTGATTGTGATGCTAGGGAGGTTATATTGATGTTAAATTTGATTACAGCCGCTAGGCTGTTAATAGGACAATATTGGAAGAAGGAATCCTTGCCTACTTTACAAGAGTGGTTTTATAAAGTTTCGTATTTGGCAGAAATGGCAAAGATTTCGGCTTTTTTAAAGGAGCAATCTCAAGAGAAATTTTTTGCGGTATGGGAAAAATGGATAAATTTTATACAACATAATTTAGATATGGAAAAATATTATTTAGCCTTTTTATAACTTGTAATGATTGTTTTTTTTTCTTTCTTTCTTTCTTCTTCTGTATTATTATTTATATACTTTTCTATATATGTTTTATTTTTCGCCTACCTCTTTCTTTTTTCTTTCTCTCTCTCTTTTCTTTTTCCCTTTTTTCTTCTTCCTTTTTTTACGTATATTATTATTATATATATTATTATTATGATTTTTATTATTATTATTAATTATCTTATAAATTGTATACGTTATTTTTTAAAATTTGTTAAATAATCCTATATTCAGTTCTGGGAAGTCGGGGGGGGGAGGGTGGGGTGGTTTGGGAGGGGGGGGGTGGATGTTTATTTGTAAAATTTTTGAAAAAAATTCAATAAAAAAAAAAAAAGAATAGCTTGGGTGAAGGTTATAGAGTGGTATAGAAATTTGCAGATAATTTAATGGAATAATTAAAAGTAATAAATATATGAATGGAAAAGCTAAAAGAATGTGGTGCATTAGGCGGATTTAAAGTTAACAAAGAGAAATGGATAAAGTTAATAAAAAATATAAATATGGAATATCCAAAAGAATTGATAGTAAAAACTGGTTTCCATACAGAGAAAAAAGTGAAATATTTGGGTACTACCATGATTAATATGAATTGTATATTATTTCAAAATAATTATATCAATGTATGGAACGAAATTATGAGAGACTTAAGATGGGAAAAATACAATTATCATTGTTTAGAAGATTTTGTGTAGTAAAAGTATTTCCTAGAATATTGTTTTTATTTTTTAAAAATACCTTTTTTGAAATATGATGTACTATTTAAGTAATGGAAAAAAAGACGTCCAAATTTATACGGCAGGGGGAAAAAAATCAAGGGTTAACTATTAAATTCTTGAATATGCAGAAGAAAATAGGATTAGGATTGCCTGATTTTAAATTACATTTTGCAGCCTGCTGCTTGGTTTGGATGAAAGAGTGAGTGTTGCTGAGAAATAAAATAATGTAAGAATTAGAAGAATATAACCCGATATTTGGTTGGCATTAGTTTTTATGCCTTTGCAAAGTCAAAAATTAATGTAGATATAAAAACATTACGTACAAAGTACCATATTAAGAATATGGAATAAATACAAATATGGGCTATGCCTGAAAATACCTATTGCTTTTAGTATAGGAAAGTATTTTAAGAAAAGATACAGTGGACAAAGAGTACTGTTTAACATATCAAGATTTATCAGTACAGGAAAATGGAGAAATTAAGATAATGCCATGAGAACAATTGAATCAATTTTCAAAGGTTTTCATCTGCACATTTAAAAGAAAGATTTAATACAGTAAATATTATTGGAATTGAGCAATATAAAATGAAATTTGAACTGAATTATATAGAAATGATGAACATGTGACTGTAAATTGTATAAAGCTTCATTAAGATTTGAACGGAAAATGAACAGGTTAAAGATTGAATGATAAAATGGGCAATTAATTTTCATTATAATATGCAGACAGCCAAATGGGAGAGAATGTGGATAAATAGGATGAAATTCACATTATGCTATAGTTTAAGAAATAATTTTTATAAAAGGATGTACCTTTTTCTGTACATCATTTTATGTACCTGCGGATCCTGCAATATGATGGGAATAATACAAAGAAGATGTACCTTTATATAAAACTCCAGAAAAAATATCGAAGATATATAAAGATACTTCAAATCAATGTAGGAAATGTGAAAAACAGGAAGTGAACATGCATAGTGGACTTGTGTGAAAAAACAAAACAAAAAAATCTGAATACAAATACAAATATCTGGGTAGAAATAATTTTAAAGATTATCATTAGGAAAAATGTAGAACTTTTTTTTATTGCGGCTTATATATAGTAAATTAGAAAAGATTCATAGAAGATTGATTTTATATATAGTAACTGTAATAAGTTTATTATTTGCACAATGATGGAGAAATACTGACACACTCACCATAGAGCAGGGGTGTCAAACTTGCCACATCACGATGTAGCGCGACTTTTCCCCCATTGCTGGAGTTGGGGTAGGTACGGTTTTGGCATGACACATCTGGCTTGTGGGCTGGCAGTTTGACACTGCTCCCATAGCGGAATGGAGTGTGAAAATGGCAGAAATGACCCCTTTAGTCAGGGACAAAATAATAATTACTTCTATAAAAGACTAGAAAACCTTTATGATTTTTTTTTGTTGAAAATGGAGAAAAGTGAAATGAAAATTTCTGGATTTGATTATTGAAAAAGGATTGAATAAGGAATTTTTGAGAAAATCGAAACAATTAGTTTATTTACAATTGTTGGAATAAGGTTGTTTTCTTTTTCTGATTCCTGTTGTTTTTCACATAATCAGTTTTTATTATCTGTTTTGCTCTTGATATCATTTCTTTTTTTCTTAATCCTTTTCTATTTTTCTTATGTTTTTATTTATCTTTTATGTACAAAAATATTTTAGATTAAAAATTACTTAAAAAGACAAATACCCATTTCCATATTTATTACTTATTTTTTAAAAAACAAAACAACCCTTCCCCCCAGATCTCATTGTCAAAATTGTTTTCATTATAAAATATTTGTTTTTAAGCAGAAAAATAATGTTGAAGATTGCATAACACTTCAGTGGACTTTAAGTATTAATGAGAGACCGAGTATCACACTGTATACAGGTTTTGGACTCAGACTCAGAACAGGAAGACTAAGGTTCTAGTGCATACTCAGCCACAGAATTT